GAATTAACAATGGTGGTTGTATTACATATTGATATCTTCAAAGTGGCTTCTCATGAAAACAGATATAGACATGCAATACTGGTCAACCAAAGACCCATTGACAGTTTCTTTCAGCATAGAAACAGCAGATAGAAGAACAACCATGTTATCTATCCTGTACTTTCAGGGATCATTTCTATAGTATGTTACTAGGGCATACATTTCTATCCCTTATTCCTACAGACCTCTGGAGAGGAGCTGTGTCTACCTAATATCTATCCTCACTTTCTTCTCTTACTATTAGAACCCCAATTCTGCTGAGAATGAAAATGGACCAATCAAGAAATAGCTGTATCACCAGGTTTTTTCATAGCTGAGTTTGTCTACGGGATAAGGCTTTGGCCAATGACATACAGCTAAAAGTCCTTGTAGGTCCAAGGCTCCAGTTTAAGAGGACAGAACCAGTTGGCCTGTGCTTTCTGCATTTAGTCTAAGGTTTTCAACCTCGGCACTATTGACATTTTTGGTGGGATAATTCTTGTGGAGAGCTGACCTGTGGGCTGTAGGAAATTTAGCAAAATCTTTGGTTTCTACTCACTAGATTCCAGGAGCAAGTCCCCTCCTCCAGATAGGCTGTGACAACCAAAAAGCCCCCTGGGGACAAAATCACCTCCAATTGAGAATCATTGCTTTAAGCTTTTCTCTTGCTCTCTGGAATGCTGACAGTGACAGAGGTAGAGCAGCTAAGGCAACAAACGTGATGAAGAAATCTACATGGTAAACATGGCGGGATGAAAAGCTGATGGCATCTGACAGCTAATCCATTACCTGTCACTTCAGCCTTAAACAAATCTATAATAAAATGTGAGTGACTAATAGCAATATAATATCTTAACCATGAGAAATATCTATATTTAAAATGCCTCAAAGTTTCTGGCATATCAGGCCTGGACTATCTCCCTTTCCCCTCCATAACATGAGGAAAATAAACTCCTAATTTGTTTAAGGCACTGTTATGATTTAGATCTAGAATGTCTCCCTAGAGACTCATGTGCTCAAAGACGGAGCGGGGAAGATGACTGGCTCATGGGCACTATACTCAGTGGATTAACCCATGGAAGGGTTCAGAGTTGAATGCACTATTAGTAGGCGGGGTCTGATCACAAGAGGTGGTACCTAGAAGGGTGTAAGTCCCTCCCCAAATCCCACTTTTCTCTCTCTCTCTCTCTCTCTCTCTCTCTCTCTCTCTCTCTCTCTC